CCCCCCCTCCCCCACACACACACACACACACGGAAGGAAAGATTTAAAATAAATATATAAAAATAATAATAATAAATTTTGTTTCCTTCCGGTTGGTTTTTCTTTCCGTGATCATTGTTTTTGACATTTGTTTGGCGCCGCCCTAACCCCCCTCCCGCTCAACCCCACACATATAAATACATACATACACCGCACGACGATGGCAATGTTACGTTCGTTTCATTTGTTTTGTTTTGTTTTTGTGTTGTTGTTGTTGTTTTTTACGTGTCCGCGTGCGTGCGTGAGTTCTGTTTTATAAGTTTATATATTAGTGTGTGTGTGTGTGTGTGTTTGCTTCTTTTCTTTTATTTTTGTTTTTCCTTTTTTTGTTGTTTTGTTTTTTGTCTGTTCGTACGTTTGTCTATTTATATATTTATATGTCTCACTCTCTCAGTCTCTTTTGCCTTCTCTTCCTCTCTGCAGTCATGGCGAGTGCCGTAGCTGCTGCTATTTTTTTTTTTAATAAAATACACATATATATATATATATATATATATTGGGGGAAGGGAAGGGAAGGGTACATGATGATATTGAGTGTAGATGCAACATTATTTTTGTTTTTTTTTTTTGTTTTTTTGTTTTTTTTTTTGTTTTCATCTGTCTTTCTTTTACTCAAAAATTAAAACTACACGCTTTACGCTATTTATATGCGCGTATAAATAAATAAATAAAAATATATATGTATGGACTGACTTCATTGTGGAAGGTTTTTTTGTTGGGTTTTGGATTGGCATTGCCATTTGTTGTTGTTGTTGTTGTTGTTGTCTCTGAGAAGAGAAGGGCGGTAAAATGCGGGGAGGAGGCGGGGGAACAGGTGGCCTTTTTGTTGTTGTTGTTTGTTTTGTTTTGTTTGTTTCATTGATGCAAACACGCATACATGTATAAATAAATAAATAAATATATAAATAAATATATACGTCCCACAGGCGTGGTACACCTGTTGTTGCGTAAACAATTGAAATATTGTACCTTTTTTATTCTTTTTTTTTTTTTTTTTTATGCCGGTCGGTAAAAGAGGGGAGAGGGAGGGGGGAAAGTGGGGAGTTGTTTTTCTCCCTCCCCCCACACACCCACACCCACACACTCTCTCTCTCTTTTCCGTTTGCCCAAATGAAAGATACATGTATGCATGTGGTACATGTGCAATACGCCATCATATTGTTCCCTCCCTCTTCCTTCTCACCACGCCTTCTTATTTTCCCCCATTTTTCTGTTTGTTTTTTGTTGTTGTTGTTGTTGTTGTTGTTGTTTTGTTTTTTCTCTCTCTGTGTGTGTGTATGTTGATTTCTGTATTTATATGTATTTATATGTATATATACATTTATTTATGGATGCAGCCTTTTACTTTTCCCTCTCCATTTGTTCTATTCCCTTTGCCGCAAACATACACACACAGCCCTGCCGCTGCTGCTGTTGTTGGGAGGGTGAGAGGGAGAAGGGGATGTCTGCACGACTGGGCGGGCGGATTGTTTTTTCTTTTTTCTTTTTTTTTTTGTTTTATTTTATTTTACCTCCAAGCAGGAGTCAAAGAGAGAGTGAATGAGTGGGTGAGAGATCCAAAAATAAAAAAAGACGGGGGAAGAGAAAAAAATATATATTTTTTTTTCTTTTTTAAGAAATGAAAGAAAAGAAAAGGAAAAAAAAAAAAGAAAGGAAACGAGAATTTGGACTTTTGGTCCCATCGTTATGAAACACTTTTTTCCTTTTCTTTCCCCCCCCCCCCCTCTTGCCACTCAAACACACCCAAAGAGACATGCAAAAAAAAATAAAATAAAATAAAATACGCCCCCACCACCACAACCACCACCAAAATAACAGAAATGCACGTCATGCACGTGTGTGTGTGTGTGTGTGTGTTTTGTTTTTTCCCCCACGTATTCGATTGTGAGTATTTTTGTTTTGTTGTTGTTTTTGTCTCCGCTGTTCCTTTTGTTGTGGAGAGAAGGCGCCGTACATCAACAAAAACGGAAGCCCCCCCCTCTTCCCAACTCCTCCCAACTCCTCCTGTCCGAAAAGGAAAAGAAACATAAATACACCGGAATTGAGTTTATTACGAAACAACTGTTGGCGTTACGTCCATTTGTGCAGATTTTTATTATTATTTTTTATTATTTATTTATTTGTGGCTGTTGTTGTTGCATGCTCATTGCTTCACCTTCAACACCTGTTTTTACTGTCATTGTTTTTATATTATTGTTGTTTTTTACTTTACATGACACGTGGGCCTGCACGTCGGAGGTGAAGTGAAGGGGAGGGAGAAAAGAATATGGAGGAGCTGAGAGGCAAACAAAAAAAAAAAAAAAAGGGAGCAGCGAGTCGTTGCACCTCCCGGGAAGAGGGGGAAAAGGAGGAGGCATGAAACCGTGACGATTTGCCCAAACCAAAAATAAGTGGAAGGAAAAAAGGAAAAAAAAAAAAAAAAAGAAGAGGAGTTGTTTTGTTATTTGTTTGTTCGGTGCGTTTTGCCTCACCGGATGAATTGCAAGGAGTTGATGAAAAGAAGTCAAAAGAAAATAATAATAATTTTTACTTTTTTTATTTATTTATTTATTTTTATATGCATACACAGACTGACAGGCACACACACACACACACACACATGATGTGTGGGGATGAACAAACTGAAGCGAAGAATGCTGCAACAAATCTAAAATTAAAATTAAAAAATGAAAAAGGAAGCAAACATTTCCCCCTTTCCCCCCCCCCCTTTTTTTTTTTTATTATTGTGTTGTGGTGATGGTTGGGAAGAGTTGTTGGTGTATATATTTTGTATGTGTGAGCATACATGCATACATCTATCCACCTTTACATATATCTTTCAGCAGAGTTTGTTTCTTTTACTTTTCATCCCACACGCAAACGGCTACCACCAGACTTGTTGGATCCCCCCCCCCCC